TACCGGGTCTATTTCACCCCCCGTATATATATAGCAAACAGGCATACAACACATACAACATGATTCACAAAGACTACAAGCACATACAATCCCTAGTGTTCTATAGTATAGTGAGCAAACTCACCTCAGTTCGCTGAAAATCCAACAGATGCTCAGGCTACTAGACCGGAGAATCCCCACGCAAACCAATCAAATACAACCAAAATCAATAATTGAGTCATAACCCATATTTGGGACTTTAATTTACTAAACCCGACTCCTAGGGTAAAAGACCATTTTACCCTTCCCCTCAATTGGCCCAATTAACCGTGGCCCAAACTCAATAGCACTTAAAGCCCAATGATGGACCAAATCCAAAAGACAAATCAAGGCCCAATATGGGCCCAAATTCAATAAAGGACCAAGGCCTAACAATGGCCCATCTCTACAATACTTGTGGCCCAAAAAGAGCCCAAAACCCTAGAGTCCAAAAGTGGCCCAAAATCAAAAAGCTCAAATGGCTCCTGGTTGAGTACGCTCAGCGTACCACTTGGGTACGCCCCACATACGACCTGTTGTTGCATAACGTACAACTCGCCAAAGCTTGAAAAAAGGAAATTTGTGCATTACATTGAGTGTACGCATACGTACGCCTAACGTACTCACCAAATGTCCAAAACTCATAATAAGAACTTAATGCTTAAGACCAAAACGTCCAAACTCAGATCTAACCTCATTTTAAGGTCTTAAACGGTAAAGTTGGCAACTTTACTCCTTTTGCATGTGTTAATGGGACCCAATACCCATTTTTATCCATCTAAGTCCATAATATGAACACCAACTCTTACATGGTTCATCCAAACCCATCAAGATGACATTTTTATGCACTAACATCATCAGAAATGCTAGGATCTAATATTCTAAGCTCCTTGAGTAGCTCATACTCACAGGGGTGACTTAAGGGACCATAATATGCCCAAAACTAAGCCCTAAACTAGATCTAACACATAAAGTCATCAAGATAGAAGCTTTGTACCTTCAGATTCTAGAAAAATTGATAAAGACTTTGGATCTAGGAGCTCCACTCCAACCAATGCCTGAAAACCAAGTTCCTTCTTCTTCAAAGTGTAGAAAAATTGATAAAGACTCTCTGGATAAGAGGGTTTGAGGATAAGTTAAGGCCTTTAAATTGGGTCCAAGACCTTAAATTAGGGTTTGAAAGTGAGTCGTGTACGAGCCTTCGCGATTACTCTAGCCAAGTACCCCCAACGTACATCCCTTGTACGCCCAGCGTACTCGGCAAACCCCCAACCAATCTATCTTCCGATGACCAAAACTTGTGCGTCCCAACTCCGTTTTAGATGATCTTTATATCCACAGAAAGGTAATGACGAGCTTTACAACCATATCTAATTACTTTTGGATTAAAAAACCTCGAACTAGAATCCTTAATTCATGAAATGCCCGAACCATCACTTTTTCCGTTATACCCTTGGGCTCCAAAGTACACCCAAACTCTTGGATCACATAATCTACATTACCCACATCCAAATGGGTCCAAACCTCTCTTTCCCCAAAGCCTGAAGCCTTATGATAGTTGATCTTCGGGTCACGACCCCAAATTATGAAACGATTTGAAACAGGGTGTTACAGGTCAAACCAAAAGATTAATTTTATTGTCACACGGTCTTTTTCCTGATTACGAGTATGCAATTAATTAGTGTAAAATTGACTTATCAGAGTAATTATCTTTTTTTGTTCACATCTGGGTAACTTCCTTCTTTTTGTATACATCTAGGTAAAAGAACTTTTTAGAAGTGTTTACATATGATTATTATGATTGGCTGTAGCAAGTTACAATCAGTCATAATGTTCATATCTGAACACTTCCAATAAATTTGTTACCTAGATGTATACAAAAAAAGTTACCAGGATGTGAACAAAACGAAAATGTAATTATCCTGATAAGTTAATTTCCCTTTTTATTAAGGCGGTCGATCATAATGTTTGTAATATTAATAAATTCGATTAAATTTCCATAAAACAAGATTTATGACCATTTATAAGCATTTAAATTGGTCATGACATGTTGGGAACTACTTGTGGTAGCATAACTATCAAATCACTATATATATAAATATATATATATATATATATATATATATATATATATATATATATATATATATATATATATATATATAGACACACACACACATATAAGACGAGCGATATTATCGATGTAAATAAAAGCTACTTCTATTTTTTGTATTTTAAATTCTTGTAATACATAGAGCAAACTTCATTGAATATGATGTTTTATTTCATGTTATTGTTCTTTATCTCTGGTATTTTTAGCATGTAATAATTTTAATTTTTATATTTAATATCTTAAACAATAAAATTCTATAAAATAATGATGTGTTTTTCCCTGTCAAATCTAAAGTTAAAGATATTTACCATTTAAGTTAAAGATATTTACCAAAATGGTATGGTTTTAAAAATATTTACCATTTAGGTTAAATTTTAAAAATTAGAAGGTAAAATAATAAAGAAGAGAAATTGAATTATGACCGGCTGTAGCAAGTTACAATCGGTCATAATGTTCATGGTGTGGTTTTAAAAATATTTACTTTTTCATTTTGTTCATATTTGAGTAACTTTTTTTTCTGTACACATCTAGGTAACGAACTTGTTGAAAGTGTTCAAATATGACCATTATGACCGGTTGTAACTTGCTACAGCCGATCATAAAGGTCATATGTGAACACTTCTTACAGGTTTGTTATCTAAACGTTTAAAAAAAAAAGTTACCCAGATATGAACAAAATAAAAATATAATTAGCTTGATAAGTCAAATTTCTGCATGCTTTTTCTTTAATATATCTTTGCCGTTAAAAAAAAAGCATTGATCCACTTCATAATAAATTTTATTTTATTTTTAAAAGATAACAAAGGGAACTGTATGATATATTTGGCTAATATGATTCTAATTATTTGAAATAATAATATTCATTATATGCATCTCTCTAACTAATAAACAAAAGTAAATTGTCATGTGTTCTTTCAAAAACATTAATTTCATTCAATGTTAAATATCGTTTTTGCCCCTCTTTGATTTCACATTCTATAATGTCCAGGTCAAAATAAATCAGCATTTAATATCCGATTTTTATGGTATTTATGGTATATGATCTCTATTTAAATTTAATGTGATACGTTTGAAAAAGATACCCAATTCAGTCCTCCAATTTTAAATAATCAATACAAAAAGGTTTAAACAAACTTAACTCTTATTAATAATATAAATGTTTTATGTTTTATAAATTTTTTATCCGTGGTTCCCATGGGTTGTAACCTAGTTATCAAAAATCACATTTAAAAAAATAGCGGAAAGTGGAACTTATTATTAATCAAAAGGGGTCGATGAGGAAAATTAAGCAAACTCATCTCAGGGATTAACCGAAAAAAACATTGACTTGAGTGTTAACGTCGTTAGCAAATCAACTCCCACCGGACAACACGTGGATCATTTTATTTATTATTTTAAAAATTCTCTGCAAAATACTCCCGTTTGTAACAACTTTTGACCTCTCATGGATCGTAGGGACCATCTTCAAATTTCTCGGGGATTTTCAGGTTTAATCAATACTTTTATTAAACATTATTAATTCTTAATATAAAACAGATATGGCTTAATTAAGCTATTTGAGCTCTTAACAAATTATATATTTTCATATTTTTTTAGCCATTTGAAGCAACCTTAATTCTTAAATATATGTTAAACATAATAATCAAGTATAAATTGTATATAGGATAAAACCCATTTACTTGTAGCTCCGGTAATATTTTTAGGATAATAACAGTTTGTATATCTTTTTAATGATCGGTCGTAAATCGTAATTAAGTTAATCTCAAAGCAAGGTGCCTAATATGTCATTGCTTAGCTAATGTTGCTCATAATCATATGATTGAAATACGGATAGCAGTAATTAAGATACAAATTGTAGTATTTTATTGGGTAAAGGCATTTAGATAAGCAGGTGTGTCGATGAATGTAAATGTAGACGTGTGTGTGTTGACTTCCAAGGACTTATGAAAAGAAGAATTAATATATAATTAGGCAATTAGAATATTAATTAGTGCATGGGCCGGATGGATTAATGGATAATTGGACGACACGTAGTAATGGGAATAAGTGAACGTCTTCCAGCAGGTTCTTTCTAGAGATTAGGCGAAAGCGTTATTAAGAAGTTAATTATGATTAAAACAAGTGTTATTCCTTCTTCCACCTCCATATCCAATTAAATTATCTTCTACATCGTCCCTTCATTACGCTTCTTGCTTCCACTTAAACCACCCCCCATATTCTTGGAGATAATAAGATATCATAAACAATACAGTAATTTTAATAATGGATCAACCCCACCCCTTACAACCATAGATTTTTCTATAAATCAATGCTATCTAACATCCATATATTTTGATGACTGACGACTTTTTTTTTTTTTTAATTGCGTCTTATTTATAAAATATAATGTGAAAAGGCTCATAAAACAAAAACTAAAAGAAAATCATAAGTGATTTTTGTATGGAATGGGGTCTATAATTTTGGATAATGGGGGTGATTAGAATAGAAACTGTGTAGTAGACATGGTTTTGTTGCATGCAAAAAAAACGTCATGCCCTACATCATCAATTTGGGATTTAGATTTTTTACTGAGAGTTGGTATCTTCCCTCGAGATGCATGTTAAAAAAAAAAAAAAAAAAGGACAGTAGCAATCACTTATCACTACAACCAAGGACTTAATAGTAATTTGAATTTTTAACAGAAGAGAAGAGGAAATAAAGGCATGTGATGGGGCTCCCTGCTATTGTCATTGGGTTAATAAATACAGCCTACTTATATCAGCATTGGTGGAACCAACTTTCCTAATTAGGAAGTTCATTCTTTTCTTACAATAAAGAAAAAAAGGGCTAATGATATCTACTGTCACCATTCACCAATCAATAAATTTCTAAATAAACTTTTTTCATAAACCATTAATGAAAATGCAAGAATATGTAAATAGATCATAGACATAACTTAAACAACAAAAATAATAATTTATCTGCTACAGGCTCTAACACCCCGATTACCATTCATGACAACATTTTGGGTTCTTGAAAGCATGTATATGCTTTTTTCTTTAGAGTTCGTCATGCTTCAGAATAGTTCCTTCTGTTGTGTTACACAATTACAAAAACCAGCATAAGTCACTCATCTTCCATCAAACATTTTTTTTTTGTGTTTTACTATTATAAAAAAACATTCATCTTTATATAATTTATTTATGTTCATGTGATAATTGTAGTTCATAAGCTAAACGAAAGTAACATGACAAAAAATTTAACCTGAAAATGTCTCTGTGAAGAAAAATAAAATTTCCCTTGCAGCCGACTCACGTGAATCTGAACCATGAACACAATTCCGCTCCAAATCCTGCCCACACATGGCCCTGATGCTATACAAGACAAAACTTTAGATAACAATTAACAACACCACCATGGAAAGTAAAAAAGGTGCCATTAACTATATATTCCTTAATGATACAAAGTTTTCAGGCTTAAATCACAAGAATACAACATGATAAGAGAAACACAAAAAAAAAACCTGTCAGGATGAGTAGATTTAGCCTTGTGAGCATCAGTTGGTCCGATAAGAGTACGCCAATCAGCAATAGCATTAGCTTTTTGCAAAACCATTATTAAAACTGGACCACTGACAAGTTATAAAAATCAAGAGACCAATATTAAGAATAATGAGCTTAGATTGTAACTTTTATGAAAGCTGAACAGATTGTTTTAAGAAGACAAGAAAATACCTTGTCATGTATTTAACAAGGTTCGGAAAGAAACTCTTTGTTGAGTGCTCGGCATAGAAACTTCTCACACTATCTTCATCAAGGTGTACTGTAGCTTCTCTTTGGATGCTGAAGCCAGAATCCAGAATAATCTTCCTTATCAAGCTAGTATAGTTACCAAAAACCCCATCTGGTTTCACTATTGCTAATGTCCTCTCCGTTTCCAATTCAACATTTGCCAATGATCTAAAAGTATATGCAATAAGACAGCAGTAGAGCAAGTTCTATAAGCAAGTACAGTGAGAGAGAAGGGAGCTCTTGGCATCAACAACTCGTCAATTACTAGATATACATAGCAGCTCTACTAATATTATTCTGTTTAACTACTCAACCTGAGATCACATTTATGAATAGACAGCTTATGCAACAACTTGAATAAATTAGTTAAATCTATAGACTTCAATTTTGTAATTTCATTGAAATTCATTAAGCATATCATTCAGAAATTAGAAACCCTAACACGATTCACCTGTGCGATAGAGCAACAACAGAGGCCAGAAGGATAATTATTACAGCATCCCCAAAGCAAAGGCCGCAACGGAGATTCATAAGCATCTAAATGAAGAAAAAAATCAGCTATCAGATACATCAAGTGATGAAAATTCGAAGTTGTCAATCACTTATGGACAGAAAACCGTATATGAATTTAAAAACAATTGCAAAAGAAAACATAAGGAGAACAATACGAAGTTAAGAGTTACTGAATGGAACCTTTGAGTCGACGAACCGTAATTGCGAGTGCAATGGAAGCGTGATAGGGTGTCGATTCAGGGAAGGAATAGGCGGGAATGAGTAGTGAAGGACCGGAAGAAACGCTGTTGACGGAACTTGCACGCGTTAGGCACGTGCCAAATTTTTGGAAAATATTTTTTTTGTTGAATAAACTTTGTAAAATAGAAAGAAAAAGGTATTATGAGTTTTATAATATAAAGTTCTTTTTTGTAAAGAAACTTTAATACATTGGATATAGTTTAAGATTTTTAGTTTTCTCACGTGAAAAAAAAAAAAAAAAAAAAAAAACTTATAGGAAAAAGTTTGAGGACAAATGGACAATGGTTACTAAAATTTAAGTGTTCTTTTTTTATTTTAAAACCAAATCAAAATGTTTTTATGATATGTAATGTGTTATTTGATTTTGGTTTTGAAAAAATTAAACTGTTCGATTCAATTTTTGATTTATAGTTTGATAACCATGGTTGCGACAAGATTATAACATTGATAATAACAAAGCTTTTACCTATAAGTTTTTTTGTTGTCATAATATGTTATTTGATTAATTATTTAATTATTATTTTCGGTTAGGCTATCCGATATCGAAGCAAACGCACAACTACACAAATCCGATGTTGAGGTGGTTTATATTAGTGAAAATTGTCCCAAAATATAATAAGTGTCATGTGGAATGAAAGTGGTCACGGATCTTCGGTGAATGAATATGTCTTTTTTTCTCTTTTTAATTTTTACTGTTCTACAACCTTATGAAATGGTTTGATGATGAGGTGGATTGACCATGAGGATACCCCATTTCCTTGCATCTAATTGCCATTAGTTATATAAATCTGGAACGATTTTGTTACTATACTACTACTGATGGGTAAACGAAGTTCCCAGTTAGGATCACAAAAACCCGATTCAGAAAACCAATGTCAACAACTCTTAACAAGTTACAATTACATCTACTTTGAAAACTATTGATAAGCAGAATTCTCTAATCAGGACTCTCGATACAGTTACACCACGAGAATCTAGATTAGCCTTCCAAGATCACCTTCTAATTTCCTGCCAAAAATTAGAATAGCAAGGAATAGACTATCCTCCAATTTACAGAGAATAAATTTCATGAAAATCAAATCTGTCCTCCTTCCTCAATTTTTCAGTACATAACTGTGAAAAGAAAGACACGACATCAACACTTCTACCCCACGTTTCATACACTTGTGGAATTCAAATAACTACCCTACTACTTTGACGACTTCAAACAAATAAAACTAACTTAGAAAACAAAATGATGTGAATTAAAAAGAACGTGGGGGCAACACAACTTGTACAGTCAAGTATTTGGATACTCTAATTGGATCAGGTTAATCCATCTCCGATTCGGGTCCACGGATGTGGAATTATGGATCTGAACTAGTGCCTTCCTATCATCCTCTCCGTCTTCATAAAAGTTTGACCTCAAACTTGGAAGGGGTGCATCAGGATCGTAGTAAGGCTGAAGATCAGCGACATTAATGGTGGCTGAAGCGGATGAATTTCCTAGGAGATCAATTTTGTATGCATTTTCATTCACCTTGGCAAGGATTTTAAACGGTCCATCAGAACGAGGGCTTAGCTTAGAACGACGTTTAGATGGAAATCTTTCCTTTCGAAAATGCAGCCAAACAAGGTCACCTAGTTTAAAAAGGACATGCTTCCTCCCCCGGTCACGTCTGTACTTAACGAGGTCATTAGTCTTGACAATCTTGTCATGAATACGCTGATGTATTGACTTGATATCAGCAGCTACATCACTAGCTTCCTTACTAAATTTTGTGGAAGTATCAAGGACAGCAAGATCAAGTGGTGTGGTTGGGTTTAAACCATAAACAACCATGAAAGGGCTGATTCCTGTTGTCTTATTAGGGGCCCGGTTGTAAGTGAATTCAGCTCGAGGCAATATATCTTCCCATTGCTTCAAGTTAGTTGTGATAAGAGCTCTTAGTAACGATCCAAGGGTTCGGTTAGTTACTTCGGTCTGTCCGTCAGTTTGAGGATGACTCGATGTGCTAAACTTGAGTTTTGTGCCTAACTTCCTCCACAACGTCAACCAAAAATGGCTTAAAATTTTAACGCCCTGATCACTAACCATAGTCTTTGGAATCCCATGAAGACGGACTATTTCTTTGAAGTATAAAGTGGCGATCTGGACAGCATCATAAGTCGTGTGACATGCAACAAAGTGGGCCATCTTAGAGAAGCGGTCGACCACGAACATGATAGAATCATTTTGGTGTTGGGTACGAGGTAACCCGGTGATAAAATCAATGTTAACATCTTCCCAAGGAACAACCGGGACCGGAAGTGGCATGTATAATCCATGGGGCGAAGATTTCCCTTTGGCCTTATGACACTGCAGGCAACGCCGAATATAATGTTCAACATCATGGTGCATACGGGGCCAAAAGAAATGACTGCGCAAAATCTGAGTTGTTTTATCAATTCCCATATGGCCTGCTAAACCTCCTTCGTGAGCTTCCTGTATAATTACCAACCGAATGTTGTTGGCAGCGAAACCTCTTACGTTTAACAGTGCCAAACGCCTGGCTCGAACATTGGTGGATTATGGGATCCGCCAAGGCATAATGGACCCCGTTCATGGGTCAACCGAAGGAGGTGATGATAATCAAAGGTCCGGGAACAGAAAGAGGAGACAATCAACACAAGAACCCTCCGAGGAACAACAGACAGGCACAGCCTATACTGCCACGATCCCAGCCACAGCAGCACCCGACAATCGTTACGCCGGAACCCTTCCTAAATGCAATAAGTGTAACTTCCATCATACCGAAAGGTGTCGGAAGTTGCATTGCAAGAACTGCCTCCGAAGAGGACACACCATCCGCTTCTGTAGGGCACCGACACGACCAATCTCTCAGGTCCCATTTGAGGAAGTAAGCCAGACCTGCTATGAATGTGGTGAAACGGGACACTACAGGTGATGGGTTTTTGTGCACTACAACATTCCTATGGTGTACATGTAAACCCTAAAGCTTTGGATCTAGTTTGTCTAATGAACATGCAATAATCATCCAAAGCCATAAACCCTAAATCTAGCATATGATAATCGATATTAACATAAGAATAAGGTTTAGATCTTACCTTTGATTGTTATGTAGTAATAACAATCTATTCCTTCTTGTAATTGGCTTCTAAAAGCTTAGAGTCACAAGTGTCACTCCTCTAATGGCTCACAAACACCATAAGCAATAAGGATGAAGAAGGAGGAGAGAGAAGACACCAAAAACGTCTAGAAACTTTAATGAATCAATTAGCCACATTTTTGGTGCCCTAGGGTTCCTTAAATATGTGAGGCTTATTAGGGTTTTGAACTAGTAAACCCTAATCTGACTGTTTAGGCCCTAAGCAGCCCATGGACTCCTCCTTTAGAGGCCTTGGACGAATTCTAATGGGTTTCCCCATCCACTCCATCCTCAATGGAGTCCATTAGCCCAATATCCAACTATCACACAATTGACAGTTCTAGTCCCCTTTATTTAATTAATATATTTTAGCCACAAAATTAATTCTGATTAATTCTTGACTATTATTAATTAAATAATATGATTTCTCTCTTAATATATTATTCATATAATATATTAATAAATCATAATTAATCTCTTTCTCCATAAATCATCCTATCAAGTTGCTTTGGTGAAGGCAACCCAAAAGGACCATGCTCGCAATCGGGTCAAGTACATACCAAAATAGTTATGGGCTTAGACACTAATCCAACAGTCTCCCACTTGGATAAGTCTAATAACTATTCTGCGTATGACTTCAAATCCTGATCAGCAATCATAGCTTTCAAAAGCCGCTGTCAACTCTGATCTTATCAGATACGCGTCCTTTAGATAAGGGATCATATATTCCTCCATTCTAGATATCGTATAGACGTGAGACATGGATTGAAATCATTCTCTCAGTCTATGTGTTGTTTCCCAATTTCTGATTTATGACGACTGACTAATTGAACAAATCAAATCAGTCCTGGCCCGGCCGAGCACTTTATGTTTGTCATCACTAAATCATCGAGGGGCCCACATATATCGCTTTTATCCTACATTGGGTAAAAGGAACGGATAAACTTCGACTCAATGCTCGCTTGTACTTACTCACCGAATCACACACAACAATATGTTTTATAACACCAAGTTACTGGTGCGTTTACATATTATCAATGTGTAACCGACTCGCAAGATACAACTCACACATCTCGGTTTCAAGAACATAAGATATTATCATCTCACCAATCACTCGTGATAAAATCCATGAAGCGATCCAAGTGAGCGTGGGTTTAATCCAATGCTCAAATCATATTCGTAAGCACTCATGAACGTTGCAGCAAACCTTTGCTATGTCTAATACACTTTAGACAATCTACAACCAATTCATGACAATCTTCTTTCATACCTACTCCCAAAGTATGAGCGACTGTGGAACGTTCGAATAATCTTATTATTCAGGAAGTCAAAACATGCAAAGTGAAACACAATAATAATCGAATCCAATATGGCCCCAAACTTTTGAGTATAAATAAAACTCCTTTTATTTAGTCACCATATTGATTACACATTATTCATTGTATAATGTTTCGGGAAATAAAACTTTTACTTGAATTATAACAACAATTGTCTCATGCTCTTAGCTTGCACACTTTGTTTACTTATGGTCCTTACTCTGTGAAATAGATCTATTGAGAACATTTTCAACAAAACTTATTTCACAATTCCTAATCCTTATCAATTAGTGTAAGATTACAAAATTCTCGCCACTACTAGAATATGTTATATTCTTACACTTTATGCAACGGTCCTTTTGTAATGTCACGGCACAAAAGTCACCAAGACTCGGCCAATGAAATTACAAAATGCTCTATTGGAGATTGTTACAAGACAATTCCATAGATGTGAAGTCTCACATTCAAGGTACATTCCTTTGAACATCCTTCTTGCATAAAGTTTCTAATCTAGACATAAACTCTTAACGTCCAACTCCCAATATGGAAACATTTCCATATTTTCCATATGACAACTCATTTTAAATAGAATCTTATCTATTCATAATAATGTCAATATGGTCCATCCATGACTATACTTCTAACTGTCCACAAGTGACTAATCCTTGGCGAACCTTAGATTATCCTTGACAGTTGTTTAACTAATTCAGTCAAATCCGATTCTAGTCCTCTCTCCCTCTTAATACCCTAGGCATTTGGAAATTTTTAGAACGGTCGAATATTACAACGACATGATACTTTACCAGTCTTTTGCTATAATATTTCTATTTCTATTTGCCATGTTCTCACGATTCGAACTATGAAGAGGGATGCCGTAATCATAATCGAGTGTGAGAACGCAACAATTATTTCCATATATAGAATTCTCTTACGTTGAATCCTTTCAACATAACATTCATATATCTTCTTTTTTTTGACTAAATTTGATCAAAATTTATTGATCTAAACCTTTAGATTTGAAACGAAGTATAATATTCTCTCCCTTAATTATAGCAAAACAACTTTTCAACCTATGCAACTTTGCAAAGTGAAACTTTTGTTTTCTATAATTAATATTGCTAACTTGCAATAATAATCATGCTCCCACTAACATGATGATTATCTCCTTACTAGCATAACACTTATGCTCCCACTAGCTTTGACATGTATTCAGAAATCAGCTGAACTTCTAGAAAACAATGCTTATTGAATTTCTTAAGTTCATATTTCCAATACGATGTACTTCGATATGCCTTTATCTAAGCTTCTCAAATTCACACACCTTTCCTTAGATAGCTCACATGTGTGTCTAAACTAATTCAGAACTTATATTACTAAGTCCTAAATGTTCAGACTAACTGCCAAATCTCACAATTCGAACTATGAAGAGGGATGCCGTAATCATAATCGAATTTGAGAATGCAATTTACATAATCGCTATCTCCTTAAAATCTCTCTTAGTGAAAGCGTTTCCTCACACTCATTTTCATGAAGGAGAGAAACCTTATGACACTTAGATTTTATGGTGCATGTGTTCCTATCCATGCAAATTTGTTATAAGCATAATCGTAAGATAATGTTTGTGAC